AGGATAAAAGAGGGCACAGAAGGCAAAGGCAAGGAGACCAACTAAACCCTGTCCAAAAACAAGGGCAAAATTGTTCACTTCCATGGTTAGTCACAACGAAAACATTGGCATTTCATAATTTCTTCCAGCTCAAAAATAATACCCCGTTAGGGCAGTGAGAGCCCTGACTGGGTCAGTGTGTGCTGAAGCTGAAGGGGACCCATGGCCCCTCTGCTGACCCTGTGGGTGATTTTCTTGCTTTACTGGGGACCGGGGTACCAGGTGAAAGTTTCCAAATAATTTGTCCCCCCAAATAAATTCCAGCCTGGGCAGGAAAGCAAAGCTGCTCTGGGGAAGCTCAGCTGAGTGGGGCAGTGATGCACACACAACCCCAGGTTTTATCTCTTGGTGGTGAGCAGAAAGGGCTCAACACCAGATCCCACCACATTTCTTGGGGCTTGACCTCAGGATTTGGTCTGGGATGATAAATTCCATCCCCTTTCTTTTCCATTTTAGAGATGAGGAGGAGGATGTTACTCGGGTTGACATGTCCTGATGAAAGATGGAAGAAAGACCCTGAGAGCTGCTTCTCTGCATGGAAAGATGTAAATTTGGGGAATCACTGGGAATGATGCTCTGGACATCTGAGCTCAGCAGCATCAGGAGCACCAGCCTGGGGTATTAAAAGGTGGGAATTGCAGCAGGTTTGAGCATGTTTTTCCCAGTACCCCTGTCCGATGGTGTGATACCCCTGAGAAGTGTTTTTATCAGTAAGGTTTTGATATACAAAGCTGAATCAGAAACAGAGCATTGTCTCACTAAGAAATGATCTAAAGGCACATTTTACCAAGTAATTGAGCCCAGAAGGCAGGACAGATCCCTCCCTCTGCTTTAAACACAGGTTTTTAGGAGGGGGATGGGGTGATCCAGATTATCCCCAGGAGGGGCAGCAATTACCATCCCTCCTTGGCAGGTTCAACAGAGTGGCCAGGGCTGGCTGAGCAGGCAGAATGAGGTGCTGGTTTATCCCTGGTGATCACTGGGCTTTGTGTTTGTCCTTTGAGATTCTGTGGAATTTTGGGTGATGCCCTGTTTCAGACCTGTTTGTAACTTACAGCACAGTGGCACTGTGCTAATTTTTATGATGCTGTTATTTAATGAAAAGGCTGAAAGCTGGGAGCTTCCCAATTGGTTGACTTGTGAACTTTGGGTAAGAAGAGAAGCTGTTCCAGAGGTGAGCTCATTTCTAACCTCGGGAAATGACTTAATGGACGCTGGTATTTACTCACAAAAACATTGCATGTCAGATGTCCCTGACTAGACTTTCTGTTTCGAGTCCAGTATGAGACAAAAATTTCCTTGGATGAGCTGCTACTAAGACAATTCAAGGTTTGGAGAAGAATTGCAGGGGGAGAAAAAAGAATCAGCATTAAAAACACTCTGAAATAATGAGGCTTTTCTGAATAAAGGGAAGTTTTTGGGCACCCAGCCTGGCAGAAACACCTGCCTGGGGGGATGGTGTGGGTGATGAGTCCAGCAGAAGAATCTCCCATCCTCACCCTCCACAACAACCAGCAGCTGGAGTTTCTCTCAGAGAGGAAAATACAAGTTTTTCTCTTTGGGAAGCCAAGCCCCCAGCAGTGATTTATCAGAATAAACAAAAGCAGGTTCCCTGCCCCGTGTTTGCTGTAGGTTAATGGAAATTATATCCCACACTGCTCGCCCTTGATGAGATAGATCCCAGTTTATACAGGGTGTCTGATGGGAAAACTTGCATTTTTATTCAAGGTTTGCTCATGCAGAAATTGTCACTGGGACTGTATTACCCAGTGTGGTTCCTGATTTCTGTTTTTTCCAGCATCCCAGGATGGTCCATGTGGATTTGGGGAGATCAGTGCTATTTGGAGACGCTGGGGGAAGCTCTGTCCCCTCATGACCCAGCACTGGACTGCAGCTCTGGGGATGTACTGGGGCAGCATCCCAAGAGGAGGAGATTTCGGGAAGAGCCAAGCTGGGATGTATGGAAACAAGCTTTGCCTGCCAGCACTGTTTCCTAATCCTGGACACCAAAACCCTCTGATCGTTAAACCAGCGTTCAGAGATTCGGCTGAAGGCTGCCATGCAGACAACATCCAAACTGACCTTTGAGGAGATGAGAAAAAGAAAAAAAGAGGGAAAACACAAGGGGGTTACTGTGCAAATGCTGGAGAAAAGCAGTCATTTCAATAAGGGACCCCACCCTTAAAATAAGACTTATTGCTAATGCATGCCCAGGACATTTCTGTGTGATGGTATGCTAAAAAAATCCTCTCCAAACAGGGACTAAAGGCTTTGTTGTGGCATGAGCAAGACTTACAGTTCCCAAGAAGAATCCTGTCCCTCTCTTGCATCATACAGCCAGGGATGGAGAGGACATTTCTAGACAAGAAGGCCACCAGCCAGGATGAAGGACAAACAGGGAATACATTCCTGACTTGCTACTTAATTGCTTTCGTGCAGGTGCAAAGGGCTAAATGAAAGGGAAAATAAGGATGAGTGTGTGGGGCCTAATTAATCTCAGCTTTAAGCAGGAACCTAATGTCAGGAGGAGGTGGCTGCTGGAACAAACAGGCTTCCACCCAACTTCTATGCGGATTTTGTGCTATTTATCCCCCAAGGGCCGGGCTCATTTCCAAGGCATTGGTGGGTGATGCCCCTGTCAGGTAAGGAGGTGATGGGGACAGTCCCATCCCATGTGGCAGGGCTGGCTGGTGCTTGCTGGCAGTGCCAGCAGGGTCTGCTTTCCTCTTTCCCTTTGTATTGAAAGCACTTCAGATGCAGGAGTTGCCCACTGTGGCTCTGAGGAGAGAGTTTCCATCCTGATCCCTTTTGGCACCTCCATGCAGAAGTGATGGAGAGTTTAGGGGATTCCAGGGCAAACATGGTCCAGTGCCTGCAGCATCTCCTGGGTCTCAGGAGCTGGTCCCTCTGCCACACAAGTTGACTCTTAAACCCAGAAAGGTTTAAGAGTCAAATTGGAAAAGGGGAAAATTTCTTTTTTGCTTGTGCCCAGGAGCACTCCTGCCAGCACAGCAGCCTCAGAGATGGCGCAACCACCCCCAGAGCTCAGGCGTTTCCTCCTGAAATAAGTGAGAGTAGTTTTAATGACGGAAAATCTATTCCAGAAAGGGAATCTCCTCCTCTTGGGGAACAATGCAGAGCCACCACTGCCAGCCCGGGATCTGCAGGGACCTGTATATCACGTACTCTTTAATTTAATAGCCTGGAAAATGTGAAGGCCTATCTGCATGTCATTAAAGTCTCAGTGAAGCCCCTGGGAGTGTGTTTGTCAGTGCTGGCCCCAGCAGGGCTTGGGGTTGTCCCTCTTTCACCCCCACAGCTCCTTTGCTAGCCAGAAGAGCAGGATGTCCTCAGTTTCCCTCCCTGTCCTTGCGTTGCACTTCATATTTTTTAAGCTCTTTTGAGCTCTTTGTCCCTCCCAAGGTCCTTCCCTCTTACTGTGTTATGCTGCAAGAAATACAGAAAGGGCAAGATGGGAACTGATAGACTGCAGGGAAAAAAGTGTATTCATTAAAATGGCAAAATGAGCCATGTTTCCCCTTATTGAGTCCCTCCTTACAGCATTTCCAGTCCAGGCATGTACCTGTGATGCTTCCAAGGACCCGTGTGGTCCAGGAGCATCTCTGAGGTCCGTGTGTGCGCGTGTCTGCGAGTTTCTCGGTTGTCTGAGCAACGGGACGTTCATCACTAACTCCCAGGATAATTAACTCATTTTCCTGTATTTATAGCAAACCAGTACAGGGAGTGTTGGCACTTATCCCTGATGGAGCCACATTTGGCCACAACGTTTTGAATTTTGGCTGTTTCTTGCATTACAGTGGCTTTGTCATCATCCCGGCTGCCTGCTCATTAAGTGGGCAGCTCATTAAGCTAACAAGGGCAGGGGTGATGGTGGCTGCCTGAGCCAGGCTGCCCATGGGTGCCTGCCACGGTGTGCCCCACTCCTGGTTTGCTGGTGCAGAGGGTGTTTGCAGCAGCATTCCCATCTCCAGATGCCTGCATATGCCTGTGCTAACAGCAGCGTCGCTCCCAGCTTGCCTGCTGGCAAGGCGAAATTTTACTGCTTCAAGGTTTGTTGCAGGGATCTGATGCAAGGAAACGTTGGAGCATCCTGACTCAGCACCGCAGCGGTGGGAGACCCGTGGGAAAGGCACAGAGCATCTTCTCTCAGCATCAGGGCATGCGTATGCCAGGTATGTTCCCATCAGTGGGATAAATCCTGACCTGCACACGGATCGCTCGTTTCTTCCAGAGAAGCAACTTGGTACTTTTTAGCTGTTCTTTCTTTTTGCTGCTTGTTTGTTCAGTTGGTCTTTGGGGAGGGAGGTCTTTTTGAAGGAAGCAAGGGTAAGGGGGCTCAGGGTGCGGGTGGTGGGGCTGGAGGAGGGCTCATTGCTGCAAGGTGTTGTTGCAGAACTGAGGAGACAGATTTGATCTCTGCTGCTCCTGTTATATTGTATAAGGAATGCTTTATTTTGGAATCAGCAAACAGGAAAGTGCTTGAAACAGTAGGAGATGTGCTGTACCTGCAGCTGGGACTGTAAACAGCTTGTGGCCACAGGAGCTGAAAGTGCGTGCCCTTAAATCGTGAGTTCTACTCAGGTAAAAAGGGCAATGAAATCAAGCGTGGGGGACAACCACACTGCTCATCACTCCCCAGCCACCCCTGTTTTAGGGAGGGTTCTACCTTTCCCTTCTCCTCCTCCTTTGCCTCTAGAAGGGAAAGGGACAGAAGTGTTGTGCTGGTGCTGCTGGGGTCCTGGGAGGGTCCAGCCTCCTAAATGACACTGTGATCCTCTCCCAGGAGCCACTGTAAGACTCTGGACAGTGTGGGATGCCCCTTCTCCTGCCTGGTCACCCCAGCTGCTCCTGCCCATGACCCCAGATCTGGCACTCGAAATGGAGGTGGATCATTAAGGCTCAACACACTATTGGGAAGGGCTGTGGGGTTTCTAAAAAACTGAGCCCTGCTTACAAACCCCCTTTGGAAGGACGAGTCCTTGAACCGAGCTGCCCCAGCACAGGCTCAGACAGCTCTGGTATGACCCATTCCCAGCAGGATGCTGGCAGACAGTGACTGCTTCCATGGCTCTGGCCACCACTCCTGCTTTCCCAGCTGCTCAGCTACCTTGCAAAGAGCTAAAAATATATGTCTGTGTGAGCAGTCACTGTAGCTACAGCAGGGGTGAGCCAGAGAGGGTGGCCAGGCTGGGTCACCATGGTGGGGGGACACGTTGACTTTGCAAAGTGGGCAACACAGTGGGGACAGGCAGGGACAGGATGGGACAAGACAGAATGGGACAGTCTGCTGCTGGTACCTCCAGTGCAGATCCCACCATCTCCCCACTTTTGTCGAAGCTGCAGCACTACACAGCTGGTGGGGTTCACTTTGCTGCTTGTGTTTCAGCAGGGCATGAGTGAGGAGCAGCTCCCTGCATCTCCCCACTGCCCCACACGGGAGGACACCAATGTCTCGGCCTCTGCGTACCCCCAGTACTGGGTGGAGCCCCGGTTCACCCAGGCAGCGAAGGTCCGTGTGATCATCACAGCCATCTTCTTCCTGCTGGCGGCGGGCAGCAATGCAGCCGTGCTGGGCAGCCTGCTGAGGAAGAGGAGGAAATCCCACGTGCAGCCGCTAATCCTCAGCCTGGCGCTGGCCGACCTGCTGGTGACAGTGATGGTGATGCCCCTCGATGCGGCGTGGAACGTGACAGTGCAGTGGTATGGAGGGGACATCTCCTGCAAGATCCTCAACTTCCTCAAGCTCTTTGCTATGTACGCAGCTGCCCTGGTGCTGGTGGTCATCAGCCTGGACCGGCACGCAGCCATCCTCCATCCCTTCTCCCGTGCTCACCGCCGCAACGGGATGCTGCTCCGTGCTGCCTGGGCTGGCAGCGTGCTCCTGGCTTTGCCCCAGGTAAAGTTCAGAGTCCTCCCCATGGAGTTTGCCTAGGCTGGGGTGGTTTTGGAAAAGGGCTTTTCCATCCCAACATCCCCAACCAGTCCATCCCAATCCATGGACTCCATGAGCACCAGAATAAGGCAGGAGGTAGGTGCCCAGAGCCTGTCTCCCAGTCCGACACCAGCAGGGAGGTGCTCTCCGTCCACAGCCAGCAGCATCTCCAGGAGGTGGTGCTCTATTCCAAATCCTCGCTGAGTTATTATTTGGTTCTCCATTTCAGCTTTTCCTCTTCCACCTGAACACAATCCCAGGAAGGAATTTCACCCAGTGTGTTACTCATGGGAGCTTCCGAGCACACTGGGAGGAAACTGTCTACAACATGTTCACCTTCACCACCCTCTACATCACCCCCCTGAGTGTCATGATCGTCTGCTACATCCGCATCCTTTGGGAAATCAGTAAGCAGCTAAAGGTCAATAAAGGTAAGTAGATCCCAGCCCTTTAATGTCCTCCGTGACTGAACTTCTCCATCCTGGAATTGTTGGGTGTGTCACAACATCCTTTGAAAGTTAAGTTTTGCACAAACCAACTAAGAGGTTTTGCACAAACTTATTGACCCCAGTCCTTGCTGTCTTCTGCTTCCTGTGGACATGGACCAGATTATGAGATGGTCTTCCCTCTCTGGCAGAAGCAGAGTCACGGATGGTTATGTTGTCTTGGTTTTCCCCTGTCTTCTTGACTCTCCTTGGCAGGTTTGACAAGAAATCAAAATGACCACATCTCCAAGGCACGCATGAAGACTCTCAAGATGACCATAGTGATTGTTGCTACATTCATCATCTGCTGGACCCCTTACTATCTCCTGGGCTTGTGGTACTGGTTCCAGCCAGCCATGATCCAGAAGATGCCAGAGTATGTCAACCACAGCTTCTTCCTCTTTGGCCTGCTGCACACCTGCACTGACCCTATCATTTATGGACTGTACACCCCTTCCTTTCGGGAGGACGTGCAGCTGTGTCTCAGGGGCATTGAAACAGCCATCACCAGGCAAAAGAGACACAAACCCATCTCAGCCTCAGAGAAGAGCACCAAGGATGGTGCTGCAAATGGTGGGGTGGCATCAGGGGGCTCCAATGGGACAACTGTCAGCACGGTCTGATGAAGAGATGTACCCACGAGGGGATGGCAGGCACAGCTTTGGAACTGTTTTGTCCTGTAGGACCATTTTGGAGACTGTCATGATGAGGTTCCCTACTCAGCTTTGGTGGGTGAGGGTTTCTGGCCAGAAATTGAGAATCTGCCTCCTGCCTGTACTCAGGGTGAAAAATATTTGGGGGCATTTCTGGTCATTCTGCTGTATTCTGGCAGCACCGTGACAACTACAAAAACATCCTTTTTGTACCTGACACATGCTCCAGCCCTGATTCTGGCATCAAGATTCTCCACACTTCCAGCATCAACCTCTGGGAGGAAATTTACCATCTCCTCTGTGGTCCAGGGTCCTGTCTCTGGAGTGGCTGGTCTTCAAGTGCCCTTTGCACCTACACCCAGCTGTAGAGCTGCATGGATGGTGTCACCCTGAGCCTGCAAAGGTGTGGTTGCAGGCTTTTACTCCGTTTTCTCCACACATTGTAGGAAAAACTCTCTGGAAATTTCAGATCTCCTGACTCAGAACTTGCTTGGTTCTCCCATGGCTCTGTGACAAGCCTCTAAATAGCTGGAGGCTGACTAATGCAGGAGCTTTCATGTCCCAGGCATGGTAGGTAGGGAGGGAGTGCTGTGGGGATGGAGGGACTCAGGAAAGAGTGGTACAAAGAACCACAGTGGGGTGAGGTTTCTTCTCTCTTTTGAAGAGAGACAGAAGGGAAAACAGTCCCTGCTACTGTTTTCTGCTGTGAAGGGGATGGTACAGACAGACACAGCAGCTCTGTGGGACACGGGGCAATCCAGGAGAGAGAGTATTTGTGGTAATGAGAACCAGACCTGACACTGCCCAGCCCCCTAGACCTTTCTGTCCCCACGTCCCAGAGCACAAGCTGGCAGGGTGCAGGCCACATGCTGGACACATTTGCTTTGCCATGAGCAACACCAGCCCCTCATCTCTGCCCCAGCAGAGCAGGTGCAGCCACCCCACAGGTGTTGTTTGAGGTGTCCCAATGATGGAAGTGATGGGATGAAGCTGATAGGGATCCATCAGCACCTTTAGTGCCAGATGGAGGTAAACGAGGGCAAGGAGGACTTCTGGAGGGATCAGCTGAGCTGTGGTGAGTAATAGGGGTTGTTTGCTTTCTATTATCATGCCAAAAGTTGCTTGTGAAGGCAGAAGTTTCTTCTCTGGGTGTGGATTGAAGAGATGCCTTTATTCAACTGTGTTGTCCTTTCCAGGTAATTAGAAATAGTGGATTACTTATTTTTTTCATTCTCTGATGATTGTTATTAAATGTGGAGTTTGCTTTTGAAGAGAAATTCAGTTTTAAGTCAGGTGGGTTGTTGTTTTCTTAGTTTAACTAAACCTTTGGACAGCTCAGGAGCTCTGGACTTGGCAGGAGGCAGTTTCTTGGCTATTTTTGTGGCCACTGCAGCTTTGAATGAGCATCTGGACTTTATCAGGATGAAAGAGCTTTGTTTTAAAAACAACCCTTGTCTTACTGTGGTTGCATGTGTAGGGAGCTGGGAGATGTCTTCCCCTCTAGAAAACAAATCTCCTTTGGGCACTGAGGGGGCTTTTTCTCAACCCTGTTTCCAAGAGGTGTTGGCTCCCTATCAGCCAGAAAGGATCTGCATTGGTCTCCCAGTTCACCAGCTAACAAATTATTGAAATGAGAGGGGTGGCAAGCAGTCCTTGCAGGCTGGCTGAGGCTGGGCAATGAGGACATGGGAAGCTGCAGTGCTCAGAGTGATGCTGAGCTGCACAAGGGTATTCAGCCGTTGCCCTTCTGGTACTAATTATTATTTATGCTAAACATGTAGCCCAAGGAGAAAAAAAAAATCAATTAGAACTGCAGGAGCCCAGACCAACTGGTGGGGACTAGCGTGAGCCATTTAGGAAGCATCCAAGCTCCAATGAGATGCGTAATCGCAGTTTGGCTTTCCTGGGCTCATTCTGCTCAAAGTTAATTACCCAATGCTAACAGAGCAGGGGGTGCCTGATGCCAGACTGGCAAAAAAAGGGCTTCTTGTAAGGTGATGGGAATGGCTTGCAGTAGGGGAAGCTAATTTATTCATCAGACACTCCTTTGGTCTCTTTGTTTGTACTGCTGATGGGAGGCAGACCTTGAAGGTGCGTTGGTTTTCTGGCAAGCCTTGAATAAGTAGGAAAGCGTCTTTAATCTACTGAAAATTGTCTTCATCCACTTTTTGCTGAGTGGGAGAGAACAGATACAACATTGCTCATACACGTCTCCTCTTGCCCAGCAACAGGAGAGCTCAGAGGTCTTCTCTGTGGAGAAAGAAATACTTTTTTTTCCTTGTGGGAAGGATTTTACACCCCATGGGTACAGTGAAAAGGCAAAAGTGGGTTTGGCTTTAGGGGGACTCGGCGATCTTACAATAATTTAGGTTGGAAAAGATCTCTATGAAGAGTAGGAAAATGGGGATTATTGCAAGCATTTGTACTTTAGTCCTTAGGGGAAGCATGGCACGCTCCTTGGGATTCTTGCAGGCACTCTGCTGTTGTTCCTTTTGCCTATCTCTTTCATACCTTCCCTCCTCTTGCTGATGTTCAAAGTGACATCTTGTGGAGTCTGGAGTGTGGGCAAGGTGCCCAAAGTGACAGCTTTTATGAGAGAAGGAAAATGTCACTCGTGTGCTGCTAAGCCATGTGACCACTGCATGCAGGAAGAGGAGCAAGCAGGTGGGCAGCACCTCCCTGGGGAAGCTGGGATCACTCAGGGTCCTGCCAGAGGTGGACCAAAGCCCAGGCCTGGTTTGAATATTCCTGCATTTCTGATTCTGCTTTTCTTGTATTTGCTCACACTTTAGAAAGCACAAGATTTTTGCATCACTTATTAGGAGCATGAATCCCCAAGTCTCACTTTCCCCCCCAACCCAGGGGTGGTCCTGCTTTCTGTGATGCTTCCTTCTCTCTTCCCCCACAAACCTTTTGTCTCCAACAGCACCTGCCCTTCTCCTCAGCTGGCTCCTGAGATATCTGTATATAAATATATATAAAATAGAGAGAGAAAAAAATACTTTTTATATTTATTATCTATTTATGCTTGTTGGAGGAAAATTCTCCCGCTTCCTCACAACCTGCTCATTCCCACCAAGGAAACACCAGTTACCACACTTCTTGCAGTCCCAGCCAGGATCAGATTTGTCTGATTCGGTAACAATTCCTTAATATTCACCACAGTAATGTAATGAACATATTAATAAGAGCAGGTAGCTCTGTATTTTACAAGTCCTCGACCTCACCCTGGGCCGCCTGCTTCAAACACAGCGGCCCTTTGTTCAGGAGAAAATTCTGATTCATTCCCTGTTAGTGTTTTTATAGCACTGTGCATGTTCAAAGAGCCACGCAAGTGGCTTAAGAGGCTAACACAAACCTTGGGTTAATTCATAATACTGTTAGTTACTCAGCACAATACCCACATTAATCCAGCTGACTGCCCCTTGCCACGTTGGGAAACACATGCTGAAATCAGCAGGGAGCTCCGAAAACAAGCGTGGGAGTAGGATATTAAGTATTTTGCCAGGCTGCTAGGTAGGATCTGAGCACCTTAAATGTATTTAAAATATTTTCCCATTGCTGTTGCCTCGCTCCACAGCTGTGGAGCTGAAGCAATGAGGAGGCTGTGCCCAGAATCCCTGCAGGCCTGAGCATGAGGGATGGGGCTGCAAGCTCTTCAAGGGATATTCCAGACACATCCATCAGAACTCAGCCCCCACCTGAAACCACCTCCTTTTTTTGGGGTTTATTCAAACTGATCAAAGCAGAAAAAGCTGGGTTTTTTTTTTCCTTTGATACCTGCTGATTTCATTGCAGAGCTGGACTGTGCATGTCTGCCATGAGCCCCTACAATGCTTTCTCTCTGGGGACATAGCCTGGAACTATTATTACTTCTGCTTACTCTCAGAAACCTTCCTATGCAAAGAAACCCTAAGAAAAGAGCTTTAAATCCCTGCTGCGTCCTTTTCATCTGGCTCAGGAGCTCCCAGGTTTGTGCCTTTCCCTGCAGTGCAGCAGACAGCCATCCCACAACTGCTGCTCAACCTCCTCCTTTTCCAAAGGGCCCCAAACAGCCCATCTGTTCCAAAAGGTTTTTGTTTTTTTTTTTTCAAACAAACCAGGCTTTTACAAAGTCTAAAGTACCCTTTAGACAGCATCAAATACCTCCAGGTTTTCTGGAAGGCACATTATCTCCCCTAAACTTGTATAGTTACATGGCACAACATTTAATATAACTTGCTGAGGAAAACAAAAATAAGCCAACATTCCCATGACCCCTGTGCACATCCCAAACCCCAAGTTTCTGCACTGAAATATCAAGGAGTAAAGTAGTCAAAACTGTTGCACAATAAATTATTTATGTATATTTTAATTAGAAATCTCTGCTATAATTAGCACAGACACTTCTTGGGCTGAGGCGCTGCAGTGTCCTTTGACAGTGAGCATTATTAACAGGCTGTAAAAGGCAATGGGGAATTGGATTATAATGTTCTTGTTTTGCAAGCTGTATGGTGAATAAATAAATTTGTTCTGGCAGCAAAATGAACTGGGATAAATGTGTCTAGCTCCAGTCACTAAGAAGAGGGGTTGCTGCAAATGAACTTGTTCTCAGCCTTGAATTAAAAAACCTGATTACCAGGACATTATTTCTGGCAATTAGGTACCAGAACACATCAGAAAAATAAGAGATTTTCTTTGAAATATTTAATGAGTAAGCTAGTAATCACAGACTCATTTGCTGGAAATATGTGATGAGTTGGGGTTTTTTTGTGGTTAGGGTTCACTGTGCAATGAAAATCTGCATTTATGAAATCTACTAAAGGCTGGAGTGAGAGACTGAACTGTGGCACCTCTCTGGCTTTTCTTCACCTAGATTCTCTGGGTCTTCATGGGGTTACTCCATGCCCAGTCACTAATCAGAGGACAGTGCTTTGCTCCTTTTTCTGTTTCAGGCAGTTGTAGGTTGCTTTGCAAACACAAATTACTTGACAGGAGGGAGAGAGGACAGAGCATTGCCCTGTGTATGTTGCATTGCTGGACATGGTGTATTCTCCAACAAATCCCCGGTTTGGTAAGAACAATCCTTATTCAGTATTGATGTTGAAAACCCTGAGTTTGTCTAATCTGCACAGTAAGCCAGGATAAGATAGATCAAGGCTGAGACCACAAGCCTTGTAGATGTTTGTGCTGGTTTTGTCCAGGATACAATGGATTTTCCTCATAGCAGTGCAGTAACTATGTTTTGGATTTGTGCTTAGCTGCCAGCTGGGATTAAAACACAACAATGTTCTACAGATGGGAAAAAAACATACTAGAAACCATTTAAGTTCTTCCATTTGGCGGTTGTTTTATTTCTTGTTGGTTTTTTTTCCTTACAATCATTATGCTGAAATATAAAAATTCCTGGCCAAAGTTAGTTTTAAAAGTTTAAAAGTAATTCCATCTGCATTGATACATGCCAAACATCACCAGATTCAGTTTCTGAAAACACACTGATAAGACTCCCAACAGGTTGCTTTGCCTGATATCCAGAAAAATCCTCCAACTTGTGCAAACATACTTCAGCTTGACAAAAAATAGGTTACACCTGAATGTTTCCATGCTTAGTTTTCATTAATCTTAAATAACCTTTTTTCCATGGACCCTTAACGATTGGCTCATGCTAAGCTGCACCACTGTGATCCTTTTCAGCTGCACTAGGCATCCTCATGAATCCCAGGAACACAGAAATAAGAATAAATGCAGAGATGCCACGAGGATTAATATACTGGTGACAGAACTGGGCACCTTTATTTCCAGAGCTCTGGAATAGATGCAGTGCACTGCAGATCAGCTATTGTTAAGGCACGTGGTGAAACTGACAGTTTATCATCTCGGGTTGGCTCATCTCTCTGAGTCAAATATTCTGTGCCAGTAGTAGATGAAGGTCGGTGAGTTGCTGGCCCCTATCACTATCAGCAACAGCAGGTACAGCATCATCATAACAGCAAAACGGTGGGTGTGGAACCAGGAAGATTCATGAGAAGGCCTGAAAAGGGAAAAAGGCATGAATTTTATCAGAGATGCACAAATACCTTGGCAAAAAGTATCTCAGGCTTCGTTATTTTAAGCCAATCTACTAAAAATAGAAAGTTGTTCCACAATCCCAGTAACTAAAGAAGCCTGATTTTTACCACATCCCTTTTCCTTAACTCCCCATGCACAATCCTGTCTTTTCTCCCCATGTTCACACCTTTCCCTGTGGTCTGGAGCTGTAGCTGCCTGGCCTGTAGACACGTGTTGAGTAGCTGAGTGAACACTGCCACTCAAGATAGATAAGGGCAGAGTTAAAACTGAGGCACTTGTAAGAGATGCAGTCACCAGACATCCACTCTTGGTTTCCTGCCACAAATACTCTAAGTGCTTACAGGTCTGGTAAAAAAGCAAATTTAGCTGAGCCTGGGAATGTCAAAGAGCAAGACAGAGGCAGCACGATGGTGTAGGACTTATTTCCACAGGAAATAGGCTACAAACAAATTCTGGCAGTGCAGTATATCTTTCTTGGTCGTTTTCTGTTGTTTTTCAACAGTGAGATGTGTTTATCTGGCTGTTGCAGCAGCTCATCCCTCTAGACAGCTGAACTCTTACCTCCTATGCTGCTTCTGTGAATACACTAGCAAGTATTTAACTCGTAAAAGCTGGTTGTTTGTGACAACAAAGTATTTCTGTGGTACATCTCCCCCTTCGCTGTTTTTCACTCTTGCTCTTTTTCTGTCTATTTCTTCTGAATCTGAATTGGGAAAAAAAAAAAAAAGCAGAACTTCAAGTAACTGTAAAAAAAGTAAACAACCAACACCCCCATACACACCCCCCAGAAGAATGGGAATGAGATAACCAAAAATCTAGTCTTGGTATTCCCCTGAATCCCTCAGCATCCAAGAATAGAGTGAGAAGTTTGCTTGAGGCTATACCACTCCTAGTCATCCTTGGTATGGATGACATTATGGCCCAGACCAGGGTGACAAGGAGGTAAGTCTCCCATCCAGTGCTCAAGGAGCCACTGATATTAACAGGGAAAGAAAAACATGAAGGACAGATGTAACTACTGCACAGTTACTACTGTGCTAGACTCACCTTTCTTTTTCACCTGACACTTCACATCTGGGTGGTCAATGATCTCACAAACAGCCACACAGCTGAGGATAGAGCCCAGTGCACTTCTCTGCCAGCCGAGACCGTGAGGGCTGTACAGCAGAGCCAGGCTCAGGTCACTGGTCAGATACGTGCCTTCACCAAACAGGGATGTCTGAAACAGACCAGAAATCTACCCTAAAATCATGTGCTGCAAACCTCAAACAACATACAAGTGTTCTTTCCTTTCAGACTGGCAGTTCTGCTCCTGAAGGTAAATTACGAAAGGCCTTTCTGACCCATGCTGGGCCTGGTCCATGCACTGTTTTTGTCCTGGCACAACTTCCTTGGGGTGGGGCTGCTGCCCTCTCCCATCCCTCAAATTAGCTGCTTGGCAGAGCACTTGGTGTGGACAGATTCATGCTTTCCCGGATTTGGAGTTAGTTTGCCAGCAAAACTATTTTACATCAACATGACTGCATTGCTGTTAAAAGGCATTTCATCGATTTATTGAGACTGTCATCATTCAAGTAATCCAACTCCCCAAACAGGGCAAGGCTTGACTTCATTTAAATCCATGCTTTACTAGAAAAGAGTAAAGAACTTTTTGATTTGCCACACTGGCTAAAAATATTACTCCAGTAAGTCCATTGTACTCAGTAAACCATTACTCATTGAGAATGTGGGGAAAAAACACAGTCCATGTTGACTGGAATGTCAAGCAGGTGCTGTGTCAAAGCTGCTTCACAGCTGACACAAAAAGCCAGGAGTCTCAACTTCCCTTCCACTGAAATCAGAAGAGGTGCAAATCCTGTGGGATGTCTCCCTAAACCAGACGATTTTAAGAAGGCTCCACTGGCAAGTAAGCACCTGAAACTTTGCTGATCTAAACACAAGGCCAGGCAGAAAATCTCCACTATCCCCCGTCTCTGTAGACAGGCACTTCCCAGCTGCAGGCTGTCAGACAGGCCAGGATTTTCAGAGGAATTACCCTTCCTTATAAAGAAGCAAAGGACAGTCCTAATTTGTCACACTGGTGAAAAGGGTTTCATGCCACTTCCAGTCTTTACCCCCAGGCTGCACTAGAAAATCCAACACAGCCATCCACAAAGGCCTACACTGAAATGAACGCAGCAGTACAAGAGCATCAGCACACTGCATACCCTGAAAGGAAGCTGGGCCTGTTTTTAAAATGTGTCCCCAGCTGCAAGTGAGCAAGGGAAGATGGTGTCAATGGCAGGAGCCTCACCCTGTTCAGGTGGCAGTGCAGGCCGTGGTGCAGGATGGAATGGAAGTTCTCCAGGCGGCTCCCGTGGAAAGCGTAGATCAGGTCCCGCTCTCCCCTGGTCTCAGCAAACTTGGTGTTCATTTGATCACAGTACACGATCTCAAAGAGGTAGTCTGGAGCAGGAACCGCAGCCCCAGACATCCCTGTGAGTTCCTGGATCTTCTCGTACTTAAAAACAGGAAGGAATATCACTGTTGGTTTATGTGGTTAGATTACTCACTGGAAATTCTGCTTCCCGTCCCTTCATACTGTTTAATGCATTCTGATTATGCTTTTCTGAGTTAGAATTCAACACTGTCCAAATTCAGAAGGAGTAAGTGCACAGTAAAAATACTGCCAGCTTCTTGCTATTGAAGTTAAATCCTTAATCTTCTCTCCAGAAAAAAACCCCAAACCTGAATTGTAATTATGAATTAATTTATGATGCAAGGAGAATATCCCAATTCTACTTTGGCTACTAAGCCAACATATTCATCAGCTGATCTTGCAAGAGAAAAAAAACACAAAAACAGAAGTTGTTTTCAGCTTGCTGCTAATCTCTACAACTATTTTGATCCCTGTTACAGAAGTGCCTCAGTGGCTCTGAACCTTTCACTTTTTTGGGGCAGAAGACAAGAGTTCTCTTTCTCAGTGACGAGCAGGCCCCAGCTCCATGACACCCAAATTGGACTCTCTCAGACTAAACCATGCATGTACGTGTTATGTTAACTGCAGTAACCAACTACAATCACTGCCCATTATCAACTACCCAAACTGGTAACTATTTCAGGAACCAGTGTTCCTGAAAATTTACCTAAAAACGACCCTCTCTATATACAGAGAAGAATGGATTTATGTTCAACTGTCAAGCTCTCACAATAACCGACTTAATTCTGGCAGGAAGAAATATTCTCTGAAGTCCAAGTTTGCCTCAGAAACCAAATTCTAATTGAGATTTTTCAGTCAAAACTTACCTCCTGTTTCTTAGTACTTTGTATCATGAAGACTTTAGATGATAGAATCCAACTAAACAGCTCCCAGGTCCTTTTATCTGTATTTGGAACAGACTCCAGAATCTCTTTCAGGCTTGGTAGAGCCTTGGTGTCTGCAAGCTAACAACAGAAGTATTTAGCACAAGCTCCTTAGTGCCATTGCGATTAAACAGGGACCTCTAGTGAAAACAAAACAATATTTCACCCCAACAAACTGAAAAACATGTTCTGTTCTGAGATATAAACACTTGTTTCCAGTTTGTGAGGAAGTTTGTCAATTGCTCTGAATGTAAACAGCAAGCAAGTTACAAAGGGTGATATTTACCAATGCTATCTGTAGGGTTTTTTACAGGAACAATCAGACACGCTCCTGAGAGAAAACAAGCTGTCACAGGGCAGTACGTGCAGTGGACCTGACATGGGGGTGTTCAGGCCATTTAACATGCAAATCCTTCAGTATGAATTTGAATTTAACGTTGGTAAGCTCTCATAAAACTTCACATAATATTAGAAACGTTAAGGCTGGAAACCACATCTGAGGTTACTGAGTCCAACCCTTCGCCTAACTTTGCCAAGCCCACCACTAAACCATGACCCCAAGTGCCACATCTCCGTGTTTTCTCAACACCTCCAGGGATGGTGATTCCACCACTTCCCAGGGCAGACTGTGCTAATGCCTAACCACCCTTTCGGGGTAGAAATGTTGCAGGATAGTCAATCTTGAGCAGCTCGAGGCCGCTTCCTCTCGTCCTGTCGGCTCACCACCTGTCACCTATCGCTTGTTACTTCACCTGCCGTCCACACCGGATCTGGGCGTTTCCCAGTGCGGGTTTATCGGTCACAATCCCAGACACTCTTTTAAACCTGGATTTCTTGACTGGATAAACCCTTCGTCCTGCTTTATCCGTGACCCTGCGGCGCCGCTGCCCTCACCTCTGCGGGCGGCCCGCGCTCCCCATCGGGGAGGTGCCCGCCCGGGGCCGGCCCCCGGCACTCACCAGCCCCTCGAAGTCCTTGGTGTCGCCGCTGACGTAGCGGCCCGGGAAGGGCCTCAGCGCCGAGTCGCGCTTGTAGCTCTGCAGCGCGGCGGCGAACAGGCTGCACCGCAGGTCGGCGGCCAGCGGGTCCCGCCGTGCCGCCTCCCTGGCGACGTGGGGACGGGGAGGAGGGACAGAGGTGTGGGGGAATGACGCCTTCGCCTTCGGTAGAGACCGTGAGACGATTACAGAGGACAGTGTCATCATCCCTACAGGCAGAGACCAGGAGACGGGTTTAGGGGGCAGTGGCATCTTCCCCCCACCAGAGACCAGGAGAGGGGTTTAGGGGGTGGTCGCATCTTCCCCTCAGGCACAGATGTCTCATGTAACCTGGAGGGGGTAAAGGGAGCAATGGCATCTTCCTCTCAGAGACTGGAAGGGCTTGTGGGTCAGGGGGGGAAATGTCACCTTTACCTCAGGTACAGACCAAGTCACATCCATGGCCCACAGGGAAGGGAGGACATGGAGGGGGACTCCATCTTGGGAGTTTGCATCCATGTGAAACAGTAGATTAACCAGAAGGGTCATCCAAGGAGACTGCTTTTTGTGTCAAATTCTGCCTTTAATTTACATTACCCAATTTAATAGATACCTGTACATGTTTTTATCTTTAAAACATTGTCCAGTCTGTGAGGTCTGTGCTATTTTTCAACTTGCTTGCTCCAGAGGGTCTCCCACATGCCAGCAGCAGGGATGGGTGCCCTAAGAAGAGAGCTAGCACCACACAAAGCCTTTTCTCAGGAGTTATGGAAATTACCCAGACTTGAAATGCAGCTGGAGTGATTCCTTTCCATATTTCTATATCCTTGAGAGGATGTATTTTACTTTATCTGATGTGGTGCCTTATTCTGCTGTAAATATCTGATATCTCTGACAGGCTGTTAGCAACATCATTCAGTGATCCAGCTCAGGACATGTTTATTATCTCCCATGATATTAAATTGTTCTGTGTGATCCTTTTGAAAAATCAGTCCTTGGCTGTCTAATTGGCTAATTTCATTTGCTAATAAATCATTAGATGTAATATTTTTTGGTTGAAGAAGTTTAGGTGGAAATGCATTTGGGTGGAATTTTACACTGTTACTTTGAGCTTTTGAATTTATATCATTTTGGTGCCCTCATTTAAGATACCAATTACTATGTTAGAAGAAAGAGTATTGCTTTTGATATCTGTGGCACTGGTAAAGACATTCCATGCAGCAAAAGGTGTGTCTCTTGTTTGGGAATTTCTGCATGCTGTATCTTTTACCTCACAGCATGCCCAGGGTTGTGGCTCTGGGACAGAGCCTGGGGTCAAGAGCAGGATATGCAGGGCACTGCCAGCTGGGGCCCTGCTGTTGGAAGTGGGGTGTCCTGGCATATGATTAAGGAGTGAGGATAGTCCCTGAGGGGAAGCTGGAATAGAAAGACAGTGTGATGAAATGGGAATGGAGAGCTGGAGGGAAAAGGGTTTCCTTGGATCCACATCAGTTCTGGTCATGCTGGGCTTCCCGTGCCACCACTTTTGTATTATTCTAAGAGAGTTAAAATGCAGTGAAAGACTTTCTGTGGCCTTGTTGTGGTTTAAAGAAATGAACCCAAAATAGATCTAAGACATCACTGGCACTTTAGTAGTTAATGGAGATTCTGAGAGCATTGATCCCAAACTGATGCCTACCTTTGGGATTCCAAATGGATGGTGCTCCCATTACCAAGCTCAGCTGCAATGACAGATACTGATGAGATAACAAGTTTGCTGTATCGATGCTGCCTGAGAGTGCTGCCTGCTCAAACTCATTTAACACTGGGCTAAACCCTGGTTTACAGAGCTGTTCCTCAGCCAGAGGTGAAGTGCTGAAAGCTTCTGGGGCTGTTTTAGGGGACGTGCCCCTTGGTGTGTGGGTGATCCTGAGCATCAGCTGCTGTAGACTCAGGCCTGCAAAGTGTGGGAGGATAAACTTGGATAACATCATCTTTCCTTTGGAGGGGAAGCACAATTCCCCTCAGGGATAGCTACAGCAGATAAGGTTTTCCAGCCTGTGCCTTGCAGAAACCCCGAAGCCAAACAAAGGTTTCTACTCATCCCTCTCCTGACCGCTCCAAGAGGCACATGTTGGCAGGGCTCTGGAGTCAGGAGAAATGTGGAACAGCTACTGGTTTATCTTTGGTGTTGCTGCTTTTTAATTAACTGCTGTGAATGTGTGCCGTGGGCTGGAGACTGAAATTGAAAAGCATCTTTCCAGTCCTCTGAAAAACAGCACGATGAACAGTGCTTGAGCAATGTGCTGTGCATTTCTTAGTGACTGCATCCCACATTCCAAGCTTTCTCCCACACCTTTGCACCCCTGCTTCAATAGCTACAGGCAGGCAAGACTGGCTGGGGCACTGGCAAGGAGCTCTCCTTTGGCTTTTTTGAGAAGGGCCCTTCAAATGTGTTTCTCTTTTCTCACTTTATTTTCTTAGATAGAAAAGCTATCCTTGGTGATTTGCTGTGATTCAGTGCAGAAATGGTTTTGTAAAAGATACTGAAAGGGTCGTTGCCAGTGCAGGACTTTGAATAACATAGCTGTGTGGCTTCTTATGAAATTGAAGATCTGATTATTAAACATAGACTGTAATAAAAATAGTTTCTGGTGTTGGCAGATGCATTTCAGCAAAGAAATGTGGCTTAAATGTCTTCATTTAATTCCAGTGTGTTTAAAATTGATCTCATGGACCGGAAAAGAGGTTTTTTTTCCCCTTAACTAGGGTCTGTGAAGGAAATTAATACAGGGAAGGGAAAATAGAAATACAATACCACACTCAGTGAAACAAATGCTTATGACTGAGGGGCTCGTTCCTTGCTAGCACCACTGGAACAGCCAGCTGTATAAGGTATGTTTTATTATGGAATTAACCTTGACCTAAGGTTCAAAGAGAAAGGTTAGTTTGAAATAAATC